CCCACCCCCCACTTTCAATTGTTTTACTTCAATGATAGGTTCGAATTTTGTGAATGAAAGATCAAAAGGATGAACAATGCAGATATATTTTTACAGCCGCATTTGCTCTTATTTACCAAGGGTGCCAATATTAGTGGAGAGCACTGTAGTTAATTAATAAATAATTTTTTTTTAATGTTATAGTTGACAAATACAAAGGGACACCATTTGGTTAAAAAATAAACCTCATAAACTAGACTATATATTGTCATTGTTCTAGTTTTGTAGTGTTTTAAAATCAACATGAAATGAATTTAAGCCCTGCCATATTTTAAATTATGAAATATTCTGTCATATGAAAGAATTGTGAAATTATGGAAGTAAAATGGGTCACGAGTGTCGTTTCATGTTGATTGGTGAAATTAAGCCAGCATTACATTGAACAATCACATTAGTGTTATTTTGAGAGATAAAATAACATTTTGTTTTTATGACAGATGGAAGCCAGATCCACACAGATGGTCTAAACGCTCGGAGAAAACTACATTAATGCCCATTAGAATGAAATGAAAGATGGCTGTTACCTAAAGCAAACTTTGTTACTTTTCGTAAGATTATGAAGACGGAGCTGATATGACTGAACATGGATTTGAATTCTAATTTAAAAGAGCAGATTAGGAGATATCTCGTTTGTATATTTTAGAATCAAATATCTTTCAAAACGAATGCTTTTGGAATGACACGGAGAGAAAAAACGCACTTATTGAGAATGGATGTAAGGACTATAATTTAAGTCTTTTGTTTTTCCACAGTATTGATTATAATTTGAATGATATGACCAGCCACGTGACCTCAGTGCAGTGATATGCACTTGTAATGCACTTACTTTCAACTTCTAAGGTGGATACTTGAGTAAATTCTTCTGTATTCATATACCTTCTTAATTGGCATTTCTCTTTCGTAGAGGTGATCTACCAGTGAAGATCCACAATCCTAACTTATTTATGAAATGAAACGAACGATATTCAATTCCAGGTGGTGTGGGTTTCCACACTACAGTGTTATTTTCAAATACATGTTTGCAATGAAAATGTAAAGGAGCTCAGAATCTGTTGTAATAGTCGAAGCCAGAGACTGCACTTTTTCTTGTTTTGTTGTTGTTGTTGGACTGGGTAATCCAAATGATGCCAGTGTAATGATCTCAGGGCTGTTTAAGTACAGTGGCCGCTTAAACAGTGCACTCGCTTTTGTTTTTGAACATATTGAAAAAATATTTGAAGGTATAATGTGGAAATAAAGTTTCCTAAAATATTCTATTGTTGACATTGTATTGTTGGAGGTCAGATTTTTTTGTTTTGTAGCCTTTTTTTTTTTTCCTCTACATTTTTGTACATATGAATGTTGAGAGGGAATACTGTCTTGTCAAGCCTCATTTCATGTCTATGCAAAGTTGGGGAAAAAGCTCAGCAAAACTGATGTTAAATTGCTGTTGTTTAATTACCTCTATACAGTATGTGACCTCTGCTGAAGAAATGAGGTGAGATACTGACTGAACTTTTCTGAAACTATACACTAGCTGCAACATTACGTCCTCCGCCCGGAACTGCTTCCGTTTACAACAGTGAGCACAAGCTAGATTAAATTGATTATTA